CCATCAGTATATGAAAATATGAATGAATACATCTATATGATACTCATACATATTATGGAAAGATTGTTATAATGAATATATGAAATACGCGTTGTACTCTTTTCCCTTGGCTGAGGTTTTGTCCCATTGGATTTTCCCAGGAAAGTTTTTAATGAGTCAACAGAGATGGCGTATTCACATGAATAGTGTACTCTTTTCCTTCATTAGGATTTTGTCCCATTTAATAAGGTTTTAACGAGGCATATTCATGGTATGATGAGGATTACTGGATAAATGATATGATTCCTCATGATGATAAGAAGACACTGTGTAGTTGTACTCTTTTTTCTTCGATCAAGTTTTTTCCCATTGGATTTTCTTGACAAGGTTTTAACGAGGCAGCACGTGGATACTCCATTAAAGATGATCTATTTGGTTAAAGATGATCTATTTGAGGGGGAGCAATGATGTGCTACCACAATGCTCAGGTTTTGTCCCACCGGGTTTTCCTGAGGAAGCAATGCTATGATTTCAAGATGATCAGGTTTTGTCCCCCCAGGTTTTCCTGATATACTGAAGCACCTTTACCTTATGGCTACAAGATACACTTCAAGATGTTCAGATTGGGTTTTGATAAAATCAGTTAAAATATATTTAAAAATAGTCATTCAAGGGGGAGTGTTATGAAATAATTATTATAAAATAATATGTGTGAGTGACTATTTTGCCCTCGATGTATTTATATAATTATAAGTTATACCCTCAAAAATTTCCTATAAGTATGAGTTTTAGTTATAATGAAAATCGAATCAAGAGAATACATTTTATCTATTCTCTCTCTTTCGCTCTAATTTTATAACCCAAGGTACTTTATTTTTTCATGTACATTGCCCTTCAATAACAATACTTCCACAATCTGTCTCTAGATGCGGCCCAATCGTATAAAGTGCAGCTACACAGCCTCCTCTCTCTCTCTCTCAACCCTGTGTCCTTAGAATGTGGAAGAAAATCCTCTATCGTTCTACACAAATCTCAACAAGCCTTACTCGCGCGATAACTTCAGCAGATTTCTGTCCATCAAATTCCGTTTCCCGTTGTTGTAATCCTCCGTCCTTCAACTTCTCCTCTTCTTCGTCTTCTTCACGGGGCAGGCCAAAAGGAAGAACATTTTATTCAGCGAGAAATTTGATCTTCCCAGCTTCGAGTAAAACTCTTACGAGAGATTTTGCAAATTCGTTCTTGAAAATTGAGAGCTTTTTCTGCTCGCAATCGAACTCCGCCCTGAAATCTCACTGCTGGAATTGCGGTTTTGAGCCCGACAACACAACGCCGTTCCTCTTCTGCCAGGCATGTCGCAGTGTCCAGCCGGTTGATGAAACCATTGATTATTTCCAGATTTTCGGACAGTGAGTGCATTTCTTCTCGATTATCGATCTTTTTTT